GTATGCGGATTCGAACCCGCGACCCTCAGATTGTGAGTCGAGCACCTTATCCACCTGGCCATGCTGGGCCGCAACAAAGAAACTGACAAAACTGATATGATATTAACAATATATATATTACCATTGAATTATAAAAATAAATGTTCACTTATCGACTTACTCCAATTAAATTGTTTAAAAAAAGGTGAGGGGGAACAAGTAACAAAAAGTTTTGCAAAACGTTAGTGTGATGTAGGGATAGTAGTGCTAAAAAGTAAAGAAACAAGGTAGGGGTGAATACACAAAACCATACAAAATTCACTACATAAGTAGCCAAATATTTCCAGTAATAGCTTTTATCTACAACTAGATGTTGAATTCCTTTCAGTTGCATTTAAACTGGATATACAGTCTTACGGTGGCTAATAACCACAAGCCTGTAAGATTGACTCAGTACTTACTGGCTACTTACATAGGGATTTTTTATATGGTTTTATGTATTCGTTCATACCTTGTTTCTGTATTTTTTAACATTGCCATCCCTACATCATACTTAATTTTTGCAATTTTTTATTACTTGGGATTATGTTGTTTTGTTCTATCCAAAATGTGTAACCTTAAGGCAGGCTTACACAACCTCAGTATGTTGCTCAAACATGTTCATGTTCGAGTGGGAGACCAAAAGAACATTTTTTTTTTAAATCTCGTTCACATTAACATATGATTTCAAATTATAACACTTTTTCAGTAGTTGTCACAGATTCGTCAGATGAGCCTGTATATGTAGGGCAGCTTGTGCTGTAATTTGGAGAGGATCAGAGAAGAGGAAAGGGCGAATGTTATTAGTGCGAAACTGATTTTTTTTGTACTGAACCATTAGATTCGCCACTTTTTGTTTTGTTTTTTACTTCTACTTTTGTCGTGTCTAAAATAGCTTCATCATCTTTTTAAATTCTATTTTTATAACTTGTTCCCCAGTAGCTCAGTGGTAAGACTGAGGGCTTATAACGTTAAAAATCGGTTTCGATACCCGCGGTTGGCATGATGATGGGTAAAACAAAATACTCGGCCTATCTAACTAATGAATGAATATTTGCTGTTAAATTCTTATCAATGCTATAAGTGTAGCTACCAGTTTGGCCGCCAATTTTGATTTCATTCCTTTAAGTCGCATACTCAATCCTTTTTTGGCCGAACCTATTTTTCACATCTAAGGTGTTTTTGATTAGATATCATGACTTTTTGT